GCTTTCATAAAACCAATCATCATGATGTTTTTATTCTTCAAAAATGTCTTCTTATAACATATACTATTTCCATAAAGAAGTTTCTCTTTTTTCTTATATTTACTTCCCTTTTGTAAATTGTCATACCACTGTTTTTTATGTTACATTATATGGTCATGGTAGTATTTATTTAATCAGAACTACTTCCATAAAAATTTAGGAAATAACTTTAAGAAAATGGAAATAAAAACCTAATCTAGAGTAATCTTTTAAAAATGGAAATAAAAACCTAATCTAGAGTAATCTTTTAAAAATGATCCAAAGCCAATATTTTCAAATAGTGTTTAGTGTAACTCGGTAGGATTTTAAATAATTGGTAATTGATGAAATCAGAATCTTTACTAAGGTACAACAACAGTAGATATACATAACAGAGTATTTTGTATAGATATTAAAAAATGTCAAGAGTTTGGAGTTTAACCAATTTTGCATCTCTTATAAAATCTGTCATAGCACCTTATACATAGTGAGTGCTAGTACAGGTCTATTGAGTTGAATATCCACTATTTCCTCATTTTCCGCAATATCCTGAGCCTTTTATTTATCCTATGCCTCCCACACACCACTTAGTAAATGGTTAATTTCTGTACACAGGGTCATGGAAACACCTTGGGACAAATTTAAGAACATTCCAGAAGAGGTAACGTCTGAACTGGTTTCTGATTCAGAACAGACAGGGTTTCTGATTCAGAACACACAGCCTTTAGTGACTGGGTCCTCCATCTCTCCCTTTTCCCTGTTTCACAGGTTCAGCTCCAGATATACAAACTGCTACGACACACTGATCAGTCCAGCCTCTATGACTTTGCTCACTTGGTCATCTTCTGGAATGTTTCCCCCACCCTTCAATCTCCCTATTCATCTGGGAAAAATCTTATCCATCTTTTAAGGCTCAACTGAAGGGTCACCTCCGCCAGAGATACTTCTCTGTAGTTATTCTCTAAGAGTTTGGCCCACTACATTGAGAAACAAGGTTAGGTGTCCCACCTCTGTGCTACTATGATTCTGGGCATATGCCATCATGAGATTTACCAGACTACTTCAGAATTTTCTGTTTATATGTCTGCCTTTCCTAGTAGACTGAAAGTTTGGTAGTAGTAAAATGTACATTTTACCTTATCGTATTTCTAGAACTTGACTTTATCACAAACTCATAAATGCCAATTTATAAATTAATAGATGGAGAAAGAAAGGGAAGGGAGGATTTAAATAGTGAAGAAATCAATCTGTGTTAGAAAGATAATTTTAGCAGCAATATGGTACACAGAACGTATTTTTCGGAACTTTCACTATGACTGATGGAAACCCAATTCAAATTGGCTTAATAAGGAAAGCAAATATATTGCTAAATATCAATGGAAGTGAATGGATTAGGTAGGGCAAAGCTAGATTCAGGTGCTCGAACAATGTTCCCCAGTAATCCTACATCTGTATAGGCCAAGTCTGTGATTTCCTCTATGACAACACCACTCTCAGGTAAGCTCTCCCTAAGCAATGGCAAGACTTAGAGTTTCAATCTGACCAATTTAGCAATCCCAGCAAGAAGTGAGAGCCTCTCAATTCTCTTTGTTCCAGCACAACTGGCATTGTCTCCGATTCAGCCAATCTTAAGCCGTTGGCTCCACTCTGAACCCATATTGGCCTGGGCAAGGGCACAGGCAGGAAGGAGGGGCTAACACTGCTTTAGGGTCACAGACTCCCCCTCTTGAGCTCAGAACTGAAGTCATTTTACCTTAATCATGTGGGCTGGTAAGGGCAGAGGTGAAGATTTCCAAAGGAAAACCAGGGTTGTGTTTTAAGAAGAAGATGGAAGGGCAGGTGTCAGATAGGTAGAAACAGCAGATGTAGTAGAGATTAGAAGAGGAGGTTAACACTGATACTCTACTGAGTGCTCTTAGAGGGATGGAAGACCTTGGGATCTAGTGACATGTTTAGACATCTTCATTTTCTCCTTCCAGAGCAGAACCATTATACAGTAAACTGTAGCTATTAGGAAATAGGAAGGAGGGGAGTGGCAGTTATGTTAGCAATGTTCTCAAGGCAAACAAGAATAAAGCAGAGCCATACCACTCATTTCCTGGCTGATTAGCAAAGTCAATGCTCAGCGTAGAACAGAGACCCTAGGTTTTGAAGGTGTGTTACATTGTATTAGTCAAATCTGAAAGATACAATAAAAATTACGCAATAGAGTAGAACTTAGTAAACTAAGCTTCTATATTTTAGAAAGTAACTTTACTAGATTAGTCATTGCATGGATTTACAGTTTGTAGATATAAAAGTACCACTGAGCACATGTTAAAACAAGAAGCAATTTGTTTATCATAGTGGGCTTCATAGCATTGGTGCTCTTAAAATTTTCTGAAACTTGAATGGGTTTGTCATGAATTAATGATGGAAAGTGATATATTATGAAAGAAAAAAATTTTAAAAACCTTTCTATTTTCTTTCTGAAAGCAAATGATTTTGATTTAAAAAGTTCTAAGTCACGTTGTAGATAGTTCTACAGATAATGGGTTGATTCTTGACGTCTCATCCTTTTGGCTGCTACTGTAGCTAAAATGAAATTCTACTCTTCTTCAGTATTTGCTTACGTCAATAATTTGGATTGGGTCTGAGAAGTATCACTAATACTTTTTGTTGTTTTGGTAGTCTACTGTTAATGCCTGAGGCAGAGACACAGTTACTTCTTAAATATTTTCCCATAGATGAATTGGTAAGAATTTTACTCTTATTCCCATTTTATATGGGAAATGATTGAAACTAGAATTTTTAAGCAAACATTACATTTAAAAATCTATCTTAAGATCCCTAGAGAATAAAGCTGCGTCCTCCTTTCAAAAGTCCCAATTCTGAAAATTTTAAAGATAAATGAAAAGATATTTCTTTGAAAATATATTTTTTATGTTTACATAAAGATTCACCAGAGTGCTTCTGTTTAGGTAAGTGTCTTAACCAGTCTGAGCTGCTCTAACAAAATGCCATATACTGGGTGACTTAAATAACAAACATTTATATTTCATCGTTCTGGAGGCTTGAAAGGCCAAGATCAGTGTTTGCAGATTCACTATCTGGTGAATCAACTTCCCAGTTTGCCGGTAGTTGTCTTCCTCTTGTGTCCTCACATGGCACAGAGAGTGAGAACAAACTCTCTGGGTGTCTCTTTATAAATGCGCTAATCCCACCATGAGGACTTCATCCTCATGACTTCATATAGATCTAATTACAAAGCCCAGTGTCCTTATACTATCACAATGGGGTGTAAGGCTTCAACATATGAATATGAGGACATAAATATTGAGTCCATAACAGGAAGGTTGAAAAACACTACTTCTATTGTATTTATTTAACAAATATTTATGCAGCACTTAATTTTTGCTGATGTTTTACAAATGTTAACATATTCAATACTCTTAACAACCCCGTCTGTTTAGGTATCTTTTACAGAGGAGAAACAACAGCAGAGAGATAAATAAATTTTCCGTGGTCAAATGGTTATATGGCAATTAAGTGTGTAGCTGAGATTTCAGCCCTGAAAGCATAACCGCACTCGCTGCTCAAGGCAGACCACTTTCTTCACGTCCTGCCCTTCTCACAATAGTGTTAGAATAACTCACACTCCCCAGAGATCTGTATCTACTCTGGAAATTAATTTAAACCATCTACAGTTTAATCCAAAAGAGATACTGAAGCCAATGGTGAAAAGTGAATTACACTTACCCCTCCATATACGTGGAAGTCCGGTTCCAGGACACCCCTCATTCCGTGCTCTAGTCCCTTATATAAAATGGTGTAGAATTTGCATATAACCTATGTGCATCCTTCCATATATTTTAAATCATCTCTAGATTACTTATAATACATAATAAAATATATATGCTATATAAATAGCTGTCATACTGTATTGTTTAGAAAATAATGACAAGAAAAAAAGTCCGTACATATTCAGTACAGCTACAACCATCGTAAGCCTAACTATATCATAGATGTCAGCAAGACAGAAACATTTTTTAAAAATATTCTCTATCTGTGGTTGGTTGAATCCAAGGACGTGAACCAGCAATAACCAGGATGGATTGTACCTAGTGGGAAAGGTTCCGCTACATAGACTTTGAAATGCTTTATTGGCATTCTTAGAAACTATCAAGTACATTGATAGTTGTTTCTCAAGAAAGAACACCATGAGGCAGGGAAATTCAGACGACATGGAGTAATCTAGTACTTACATATTTCTAAAAACATATCTGTTTGTTACTCAGAGAGTAGTTTTCTCGTATCTCTGATCTTTTCTGTTCATGGACAGCACAAGAAAAGTGGCAGTGTTATCCTAAAATAGACCCTGAATTAACCTGTGCAATAGACTGTCCCCTCGCCCTACCCCCATTCCCCACCACTGAAAAACATGGCACTAAGTGTGACTTTTTTGAGCTCAAAAAACACCAGGAATAACAGAAACGTTCTCACATGTAATCTGAGGTGATAGATGTTATTTTTAAAGAGTAAATTTCGCATAGATGAATAAAATTTGCAAAACCCAAAGTCAAGATAAAGAGGATAGATGAGAGAGGCTGCCATTTCTCCCTCATCTCTTCCAATTCCAACAATTAAAGTGTCTTTAAGAGAAGTAATTCTTCTAAAGATGTGGAGTAGTCTCTACGTGGGCCTAAGGGGTCTGATCGTCCCCGCACTGAGTACTGGGGATACTGGGCGCCCACGGTCCCCCGTCGCAGGCGGTAAATTCTGCGTGGCGGCGACTCACTCACTGTTCCTTTGGAGATTTGGGCGGAAAGAGAATATCCCAGAGTCAGCCCAGTTACGCAGGAGGCTGGGCAGGGAGGCCGGGCAGGGAGGCCCCGGCGGCGCCTCCCCCCTCAACCCCCCGCCTCCTGTGGGGGGCGGGCCGTTCCTTCCGGACCCGGGAAAGATCCGCAAATCTGGGAATTTCCCGGGCCCAGGGGTATGCGAGCTTTCCGCCCCGATCATGGATAAAAGGGGTGCACCGGTCTCGAGGAGCCACAGAGCCCGCTCAGCCAGCTCTCCCGCCAGCTCTCGCGCTCCAGGCACCGCCGCCCCGACAACCCGAGCTGAGCACCATGGCCCGCGCCGCGACCGCCGCCGCCACCCGATCCCCTTCGCTCCTCCGGGCCGCGCTGCTGCTTCTGCTCCTGGCCGCCTCGTGCCGGCGCGCAGCTGGTGAGGCTCGGAGCCCTGGGATCTCACGGGAGGGACAGGAGACGGTGGGCGCCCATCGGGGGGACATCTCCGCTAACCGAGTCTGTTGTCCCCGCAGGGGCGCCCGTGGTCACTGAACTGCGTTGCCAGTGCTTGCAGACCTTGCAGGGGATTCACTTCAAGAACATCCAGAGTGTGAAGGTGACGCCCCCGGGACCCCACTGCGGCCAAACAGAAGTCATGTAAGTGCCTCCTGGAGCTTCTGCTGCTGCTACCATGTCAGCCCCACGGTCCCGATGCCCCGACCCTGAGCCCCAGACCGACCTCCCGCCTCACGTGGATTCTCCCTTCTCTCTGCAGTGTCACTCTCAAGAATGGACAGGAAGTTTGTCTCAACCCCGAAGCCCCCATGGTTAAGAAAATCATCGATAAGATGCTAAACAAGTGAGTTATGATTTTTGTTCACACATTGGCCACAATACTGGCATCTGCCTCTTGTACATTGTACCAGGGAAACCCAGAGTTGGCTGAAGGAGTGAAAATTGTTATTCTTTCACAATTTGATTTGCCGCTAAGGTCATTATTGTCCTGTGGTGCCAGAATATTTCCAGTGCCCTCATTCCACACTCATTCAAATGAGTGTGGGTAAATATGTCTTCTTAAAAGATTAAGTAGATTTAGCTAAAATGCCTCTTACCCATTAAGGAACAAACATTGTTTACCTCAGTCTCTCATTGGCCTCAGATCTGAAAAGTGGAACCCTTGGTTTGAGGCAAAATGGGCCTTCGGAAGCTTAGTTGTGAAGAGCAGGGACTTTGCAATGAGACCCTCTGAAGTCAAGTCTAAGATCCCTGGGAAAGTCTTTTAATCCCTTTGAGCTTCAGCAACATGGAGCCGATAATACTAGCTATTCCATGGATTGTCTGAGGCTTAAGTCAGGTCATGCATGTAAATTTTTAACACAGCGTGACAGGGAGCAAACCAGTTTAGCTCTTTCAAGCCAATGATAGAGTTGAGTCCACAGCCCTGCTTTTCCTCAGTAAAAAAGCAAGCTCTCTGCTATATAGAGTGTAGGTACACGGGGACTTTCTCCCGGCGTGAGGCTGAGCCCGGGTCTGCACGAAGAAATTCCTCCAGCTTCAGGATCCAGTGTGAGAAAAGAGCAGCTTTCCTTAACAGTAACCCTTTTCTCCCCATAGGGGCAGCACCAACTGAGCTCGACAGAAATAAAAAGCTCCTGGTGGCAGTTCCTGAAAGGAGGTCTCTGCTCTTATAAGGATTGAAAATGAAGAAGAGAACATCCAACTTTTGGGGACAACTACAAAGAAATTACTGTATTTGACTATTTTTATTTTTTCTATGAGAGACTTATTTATTTATGTATATATTTATTTTAGAAATCTCGTATTTTAATATTTTACGTTAGTATTTAAAGGTGTGAATGTGTTTAATCAAACATAACTTTGTTCTGATTGTTATTTAATTCGAAGATGATGGATTTTAAATGTCTCACTAAACTAATATATTTTGGAAGGCCATTAAGTTCCAGTTGGGGGAGGAGGGATGTCACAGAAGAGGGGAATCCAAGCAATCAGACAGTGAGATCACTATTAGGATCAGGGAAAGTGTGCGCACATCTATTTTTGTACTTGTTTAAAAGAATGTTGGTTGTTATTTATTGAAACTCTTTCACATTATATGGTCAACATTTTGATGTTGATGCATCCCTTGGACATTTTATGTCTTGCTTGTAGGGCATAATGCCTTGTTTAATGTTCTTTATGCAATGTTTCTCTGTTTTGAAACAGATAAGTTAAAACTACTGTTAGATTTTTACGAACAACATGAAAATAAAAGTTTTGCAAAAAATGACATGCTTAGGTTTTGTTTTCTTCTTCTCGATCTTTGGTTCTTACTGGGTGCCCAAGACATTGTACAGTTAGACTGCAGGTTATGCCTTTAAGCCTGCGGCCAGCTGTTCTTTCCCTTACAGTTCTTTTACTTGGGAAAGACTATTTGACACACTAATTCTTCAACCACCTGTTTCGCATTGAACAATTCATTATTCAAAATTAATTCTTAATAAACTTTTGAATTTTTATAAATATTTTAACGAAGACTTCTATTTTGGAGTGGTTTTGGTAGGTGGTTTTTCAAACAATTATACAATTCCCCCTTTAATGACATGGGAGCCAAAGGTGGAAAAGTGAATTTTTTTTAAGCACTCAGAATAATTCGTGCTATTTATAATAACAATAATAACGATGACCTATGGAGATAAATACATACTGTAAAGTAAAATATATGATGAAAATAATGCAAAGGACAGGTTGGAAGATAAATAGATTTAGAATATATTTCTTCAACTGTTAATTTAGGAAAATTATAATGTGGTAACAATATGTATTGTAATTTTTAGGGCAAACTAAAAAGGAAATGTAAAATTTTGGATTTAAAATTCTGAAAAAGAGGTAAAATGGAATACAAGAAAATACCTGAATAATGCAAAGAAGATAGAAATGAAGGAATAAAGGAACAAAACAACAGATGGGACAGCGGGGATGAGGGGAGTGGGAACAAACCTTTCTTACAAGAAAGCCTAATGCATAATATAAGTAGAGTTTCTCACCTCCTGAAAATAGAGCTTAATTCCCCTTCCCCTTGCGAGTGTGGGCCAGGCTTTGTTATTCACTTCCAAAGAAGAAATTAAGAAAAGGGAAAAAGAATAAAATTACAGTAGAAAATATGGCAGATACCACCATAACCAAGTGATCAAGGCTATTATCACCATTTATGTCATGTCAATATCATGTACTCCCCCAACATGATGTGATGAGGATACTTAATCGCCATGATATTTTTCCCCAAAACCCATCATCCCAGTATGATCATGAGAAAATCATCATAGAAATCCAAACTGATCAAGTATTCTTCAAAATACCTATCAAGTATTCTTCAAAACTGTCAAAGTCATGAAAAACAAGACAACACTGAGAATCTGTTACGTATCACAGCAGACAAAAGAGACATGATTAAATCCAATGTGATATGCTGGATTGGATCCTGGAACAGGAAGAAAAAACATTAATGGAAAATTTGTGAACTCTTACTAAAAGATAAGTTTAGTTAATAGCAACACACCGATGTTAATTTCCTAGTTTTGCTAAATATATTATAATTATGTAGGATGTCAACATTAGGAGATACTGGGCAAAAGGTCCACAGGAACTCTGTGTACTATCTATACACATTTTTCATAAATTTAAAAATTATTCCAAATTGAAAGTTTATTTTTAAAAAGAAAGGAATAGCAAAAGAGTAGACTGAAATCCAACTATATAGTAATTCTTACTATATTTAGGAATAGCAAAAGAGTAGACTGAAATCCAACTATATAGTAATTCTTAGTATATTTAAGTGGAATAAACACTTCAATCAAAAGTCAAAGATTTTGACTTTTTAAAATAAGACAAAAAACTTACGCTGCTTAAAAGAGACACACTTTAAGTATTATGACCCAGATAGCTTGGAATTAAAAGAATTGAGTGTTATACCATGCTAAAAACTAACTGCAAGAAACCTGGCATGGATATAGTAATGTATTAATTACCTGTTAATAAGTATTGATCTATTATTAATATAAATTATCAATATATTTGTTAATAATTGACATATTAATTAAGGCCTATTTAATATACTACGACTCAAGGAAAGAAACAGTCTTAGAGATAAAGAAGGCTGCTGACTCAAACTAAAAAGGGGACATGAGACAATTCTAAAATTTTATAAACTTAATAACATTTATCAAAATATATAAAACAAAATGAAGAGAAACTAAAGGAGCAATAGATGAAACCATAATCATAGAGGTTCTAACAAACCTCTTTCAATACTTAATAGGCAAAGCAGTAAAGAATCAGTAACATTATATAAAAGAGTTAAGTAACATGATCAACTAAGGTGGACTGAGCAACATATACAGACACTCCATCCAATAATTGCATAAATCACATTTGTTTTTCCAATGCACAGAGAAGTTTTTATAAAGGCCATAGAGAATGTATCTACAAATTTATGTTAAAATGTTACAGAAGTTATTCTCTGATCATCAAGTTTTTTATGATTTGTAATTTTTCTAGCTGAAATATTTCACTATGCATAATATGTTTGCTGTGGTTTATAACTTATCTCTCAACTTCCCAAATTTTGCTTTCATAATCCAGGAAGTATCAAAACAGGGTCATCATGCTGTTTTCATGCCTCTTATAACCAAGTTTGTTAAGGAATATTTCCATGGAGACATTTCCTCACTTCCTGTATATATTTATTTCTTGACATATTCTTTTGTAATTTTGGCATTCCTTTATTTCTTTGGTTCACTGTATATGTAATGTAATTACTCATTACTACTTCCACAAAAGTTTATAAAACCAATTTTAAGAGAACAGAAATACAAAATTTATATTAAAATTTAGTCTTTTAAAAACCTTGGAATAATGCCCAAATCCACTATATTGGATGGTGCTCAGAGTTAATTGAAACAAATTTAAGTAATTACATATGACTGGAATCATCAGGATGACTTTACTGTAGGAACAGAAGCAGAGACTAGCTGTGTTGCAGAAGAAAGAATGCAGGTTAGAAATTAAAGAACTTCTCATTTGAAATTTCGGTTTTATCCACTGTACATCTTTTGCAAAATTGACCACAGTCCCTTGTATGTTTTATGTGCCTAATAAACATCTTTTGACTTTAATATCTACCATCCCCTCACTTTTTGCACATACCCTGAACCTTAGGTTACCCCTACCCCTGCCTGCCCACAGTGGATGGCCAGTAAAGGTCACAGTTGGTACTGGGTCCTGACCGACAATAGGATACTACAGGCACATGGCCTCCAGCATCTGACCCTGCTGCTTTCTTCCACCTCAGTCTGTCTCCTCTCTCTACTCACAGAGTGAGTTCCAGGTACATGAGCCATTTGCCACTCTGGCTACTCAGCATGCTCTTCCAGTTCCCATGTGGCCCTCTGCTGGAATGTTTTCCTCCCTTCAGTGTTCCCCATTCACCTGGAAAACTCATTCTTAATATTCATGTGGGTGATCACCTCTTTCAGGAAGACTCCTCTGTCATCTCTCATAAACCCACCCTATAAGAGTTATATTAGGGGAAAGGGGGGAAGGAAGAGGCAAACAGGGTAAAAGAGGTCAAATATGTGGTGACAGAAAGAAATCTAACTATGGGAGGTGAACACATAGTGTAAATGTATATACATACACATGTATACACACACACACATGCCTTACTGTTAAAGTGTACAGCTGAAACTTATTGAATTTTGTTAACCAATGTCACCATAAAAAAAAATAATTAATTTAAAAAAAAGTTGGTTTAGGTGTCCCTCCTCACTCCTAATACCTTGGTAATGGCTTATCAGGCTTTTCTAAAGTCTTCTCTGTGTGCATTCATCTCCCCTATTGTACTGAGAGTTAGAGGGTAGCAGAGTCTGTCTTATCCCTCTTCATATCCCCAGCACCAAACTTCACTCCCACTTCATTAATACTGAGAAAATTATCAGTGAAAATGCTAAAACAAATGGAGACAGAAAGGAATTAAATTTGAGCTGAAACACGCTTCTGGTTAGAAAGATAACTCCAGCAGGGAGTAGAGTCAATAACAAAACACGACTCAAATTGGCTTACTGAAAAGGGGAATCATCTGACCTATGAAACTGAGTAGATGAAATAAAACTGGGAGCTGCAGTTCAAAATTTCTTTTCGGTAATCAGTTTCACTTCACATCTGGCTCCTTTTTTTCCCATCCTGACTTCATTTGGGCCAACATTGGCAAAAGCTCCATATTTCTGTTCTACCAGATATGACCCAGCAGGAAGCAAGGGCTTTTTCCCCTCAACTATTTCCTGACAAAAAGGACTTCAGGGAATTTCTTCTGACTTGACCAGGCTTAGATCACTTGACTTATCGCAGTGGCTGGGGTTGGACCCAGACTGGAAGGAATGACCAATATTACTTAGGGTCATTAACCTACTCCTAGAGCTTTGGAGTAAGGTCGCCCTACCTAAACTACTCAGTTTGGGAGGAAGAAGAGATGGTTCTCAAGGGAAAACAGGTTCTTTAGCCAGAAGGAGGAGGAAAGAGCCCAAGCTAGACAGAAATGAAAATATACTACAGACTGGATCAGGTGGGTTAAATTGACCCTGGATGAAATGCTCTGGACCAAAGAAGTAGATAGATCCAGGGATTTGAGGCCACATTCAGACATCTTCATTCTTCCCCCCTCAGAATCAGAATCATTCTACCAGAAGCAGTAATTGCAACAAAATAGGGTTGACAAGTTGTGATGGCACAATTTCCCAGGGACGGCGTGGAGAAAACATCACTGCACTGGCCATTCCTGCAGCTCCATCATCTCAAGATGCAGCAGCAACTATGGATTTTAAAGGCAAATTAGATAGTGTCAATCAAATCTGCAAAATGTAGTAAATATAATAGCTAAAAATGGGATTTAGTAACCAATACTTTTATTTTAGAGATAATTGTGCCTTTTAAAATTGGTGATTATATTCCTTTAAAGTTCAGGCACATAAATCTGTCATTCAGCTCATAAAATGAGTAATTAGTTGGAGAAGATACCTGGTAAAACAGGCAAGAATTGGATTATTTTAGTAAGCTTCAGAACACCACTATTTTTTAGATTTTCTAAAAAATAAATATGGAGCTGTTATGTATTCAATTGTGAGAATTATTATATTAAAGTAGAAAAAATCTTTTTTGTACCTCACTTTGTAAGCAACCCATGCTTATTAAGCAAGTCTTAGGCATAAAATTATAAATAATTCTACCAATATGAGGCTGCTTTTAAAACAGTTTTATCCTTTTGGCTACTACTGTAAATTTTCTGATACTCTCTATATTCATTCACCTTGAGTATCTGCTTACATCAGTACTTTGGGTTGGATCTGGAAAGCGTTAGAGAAAACATTTTCTGTTTTCTTGATTTATAAAGACAATAAAGCTCTGGGCAGCCTCCTGTTAATGCTGAAGGCAAAATAGTTCAGTTATTAAAAATGATAAAGTACCCAAACTGGGTCAGCAGAAAACTATGATCTTTATCTCAGCAAATAAGAGCTAACTGAAATGCCCGGTCCACCTTCTGGGAAGCTCTCGGGGTAGACTGTCCATCTCACTGACCACATTTTGGAGGTGGAGTTCATTTATTTGGAAAATCAGATTAATAGGTGAATAAATACAGACTTTATCAAATTTAAGTATATCACATTCATACCTTAAAAGAAAATTCTTGCTGTTAGTGAAATAAAACACCGAAGACTTTTGATCAGTTTGCTATTTTTAAGCTTTAAGAAAGATAACTTTGAACTATATTCATATGATTATTGAGAACAATAATCACATTTAAACCAAACCAAACCAAACTGCTCTCCTGAAGTTATTTATCGCTTGTTTCAGAAAAAAGAAAAAAAAAAATTTTAATTGTGTAATGGTTAAAGCTATGCTGCCTAGAGCTCAAATTCTGAATTTTATTAACTGTGAGACTTTGGAAAATTACTTAAATTCTCTGCCCTTTAGTTTTCTTGCAGAGAAAAATTGTGGAGGAAAACAAAAAACTGGTAACTACTACATGGGGACAGTTGAGAAGACTAAGAGGGTTTTATATATGTGTAAAGGATTTAGAACATTGATTATTACTTCAAAGCGTTACTTATTATAACACTTTATGTTTACTCACCATCTTGTAAGCATATGACATATGAAGTTACTAGGAATGTTGAAGAAAAAAGGAAAGATCTGCTAAAGTTTGTTCCTTGGACAAAAGTTAAAAAGTCTTAAAAACTATCTCCTCATGTTTTCTGTCCTTTATAATTTTTCTATAATAACTAGATATACATCTATAGTCAGAAAAATAACATCATATTTTTAACTTTTAAAGAATTGCTGTTATAATTATGAACTACTGATCATCTCAAGAAAACATTGTATTTTCAATTAAGAATCCCAGAAAGATAAAGGGTAACGATAATAGTCTCTACATAAATCTTCGATTATTGCTGAGTTACTCATATTTTATAAACTTTAGGTCATCTTTCATTTCCTATTCCTTTTTATTTTTTAAAAAAATTTAGATTCCAAATTCTTTTTCTCAGGACTATACTGATGATTACCAGGAAAAAAGTAAAGACAAATTTTGATTTATAATCTATTAATTCATAATCTTTTCTAGTAACCAAGATGGTGCATCTTTACTTTTATTCACATTTTGTAGTTGAAATTATTAAAACTAGAATTACAAAATTACCCAAAAAATCTAGATAACAAAATTTCATTCTAAATTTTCTTTAAAAAAAAAAATAGTACAAAAATTTTATATTGATTTGAACCTTTTTCTTTTTCTGTAAAAATTCTTTTCTCTTTGCACAAGGATTTTATACCCAGGTGAATTTCAGCTTAGTAATATGAAAAATGTAATTTCTATTTTGTTTAGTTAAAAATGATTTTTAGCACATTATATGTGCTGATGTTTTACAAATGTTAACACATTTATTCATCATGACAACCTGTCGAAGTAGATACTACCATTTACCTCCATTTTACAGATAAAAAAAAACTAAGGAACAGACAGATTAAATCTCACATATTGCTTATTGGGAGAGCCAAATTCCTATCTTAGCTATCTGATACCTTCCCTGGCACCTTTATAGCACCCCCTCCCTCCTCTTGATTCCTTTCCACACACCTTCCCACTGGATGTCCTCACACCTCTCATGGATCTGTGCCCTGAATCACACCTAAAACATCTGAAACCTACATATAAGACAATAAAGGATATTAAAACTGAGGGTGAAAAATGAGCTACTGAATGACAAAGGCTCCAGTTAACAGCTTAAAATGTTTTATTAGAAATCACTAAAAACATAATATGACCATGATTACTTCTCTAGAGAGGAAATCAAATCACTGCAGGCAAGAAAGTCCATATAACATGGAAATGAAATGAGATTTGTGAACATAAAATAAGAAAGTGGGATTAAACAAGTCATCTGCCTCTTAGATATTTCACAGAACACATCTTTTTGATGCTCAGATGAGCAAAGGGTGCTTGTTACTCACACTAGACATCGTCTCCTGATTCCTGTGACTTTTTCTGTGCTTGGACAAAATTAGAAACTGTGGACCCTGTGAGGAGAACGCAGCCTTCCCTCACTCCAACAATTCCAAAATGACCACCAGCCCTTATTTCATGGATTAATCAATGTCCTGTACACCCAAAAGGTGATATTTATAGATTACTAGAGTTCTGGAAGTTCCAGAATTTCACAGAGGAAGGAAGCTATATAGGATTAGGACACTCTGTACTAGATTAAACACTGATTGAACTTCTGACACTGGTCATCTCTTCACCCCTGATATGACACAAAGTGTGATTTAAAATACCAGGAACAGGGCGAACATTCTTATGCATAAACTGAGATGACAGATGTATTTTAACAGAGTGTATTTATGCAGACGTAAATAAAAATGAAGCCAGAAGATATTTACACACACGTAACAAATGGAATATTAGTCTTCCCCCCCCTGGCTCCACACCCCTTAATTCTGCCAAACCTGTTAACTAACGTTTGTCATGATGCTTGCCTCCGCTAAGTGACACCGCCTTTTGCAAGGCGACTCACTGCCCCTTTGGGCATTTGGGCTGAGAGAATGTCCTAGAGTCAGCCGAGTTACGCAGGAGGCCGGGCAGGGAGGCCCCGGCGGCGCTCTCCACTCAGCTCCCCCTGCGGGGGCGGGGTCGCGCCTTCCTTCCGGACCCGGGAAAGATCTGCAGGTCTGGGAATTTCCCGGGCCCAGGGGTATGCGAGCTTTCCGCCCCGATCATGGATAAAAGGGGTGCACCGGTCTCGAGGAGCCACAGAGCCCGCTCAGCCAGCTCTCCCGCCAGCTCTCGCGCTCCAGGCACCGCCGCCCCGACAACCCGAGCTGAGCACCATGGCCCGCGCCGCGACCGCCGCCGCCACCCGATCCCCTTCGCTCCTCCGGGCCGCGCTGCTGCTTCTGCTCCTGGCCGCCTCGTGCCGGCGCGCAGCTGGTGAGGCTCGGAGCCCTGGGATCTCACGGGAGGGACAGGAGACGGTGGGCGCCCATCGGGGGGACATCTCCGCTAACCGAGTCTGTTGTCCCCGCAGGGGCGCCCGTGGTCACTGAACTGCGTTGCCAGTGCTTGCAGACCTTGCAGGGGATTCACTTCAAGAACATCCAGAGTGTGAAGGTGACGCCCCCGGGACCCCACTGCGGCCAAACAGAAGTCATGTAAGTGCCTCCTGGAGCTTCTGCTGCTGCTACCATGTCAGCCCCACGGTCCCGATGCCCCGACCCTGAGCCCCAGACCGACCTCCCGCCTCACGTGGATTCTCCCTTCTCTCTGCAGTGTCACTCTCAAGAATGGACAGGAAGTTTGTCTCAACCCCGAAGCCCCCATGGTTAAGAAAATCATCGATAAGATGCTAAACAAGTGAGTTATGTGAATAGTCATTGGTGACAGATACTGGCATCTGCATCCTGAAAATTATATTATGGAAACCCAGGGTTTAGCTGAAGAAGTGAAAAGTCATTATTTCACAATTAAATTTGCCATTAAGATCACTAATGTGCGCAGCACTCTCTATGCCGATCCCCATCTCCATTCTCATTTAAATAAATATGGGTAAATGTGTCTTCCTAAAAGATTAAGTGGATTTGGCCAATGATCTCAAATGCTTCCTACCCATTAAGGAACAAACACTGTTTACCTCAGTGGCTTCAGGCTTGAAAAGTAGAACCCCTGGTTTGGGGCAACCTGAACCTCTAAATCTTAGTGGTGAAGAGCAGGGACTTTGCAGTGAACCCCTCCTCTGAATGTAAGTCTAAGCCCTACCTTTTATTACTCCTGTAATTCCAGGGAAGGTACTTAATTTCTGAGTATCAATAATATGGGGAAAATGATAGTAGCTACTTGGTAGGGTTTGCTATGAGGTTTAAGTCATGTCATGAATGTACTTTTTTAGTATGACATTATGTTCTGGTTTTTTGAAACTAACAGTACAGTTGTGACCACAGGACCCTTATTCCTAATTAAACAGCATCCAGGAGCTTTGTATTTTCTGCCACACAGGGCAGCAGTGGTACAGGTAGTAACCACTTGGGGCTACACAGTCAAGTTTCTGAGTCCTAACAGCAACTATTTTCTCATCACAGGGGAAGCACCAACTGACCCAGAGAGAAGGAGGAAACATCAGTAACTGTAGCACCCATAGTGAATTTGGAATGAAAAAAGAGAAACAAATAGTCCCTGAGGCCACCTGGACCGTGTTTAATGTGTTTATTTCTTCTATTTATTTCCATATGTATTCACTTATTTATTTATTTATTTATTTTTCAAAGCTTGTATAAAATAATAATGTTCTATCTAATATTTAAAGATATGGACATTTGGTAATTAGCTGTGCTGTTATTTTAAAAGGTCTTTTTATGTTAAAGTTAGTTCAGTCCTGACTTATTTAATTTGAAGATGATGCATTGTAAATGTTTTTTCATTCATTCAACTAATATTTTTGGTTGCGGGGGTGGGGGGGACAGGTGGGCGGGGCAGGTAACCATACCATACCATCCACTCTGATAAAGGCTGGAGATAAATAGTAGGGGATCCAAGCAAATAGATCACTATTAAGGCCGGGGAATGTTATGTGTGCATCTATTTTTGTACTGTTGAGAAAAATGTCAGTTGTTATTTATTGAAAGAATATATAGTCAACATTTCTGATGTTGAAGCCAAACAGTGATGTTCTAAATATCCCTTGGACATTTTATGTCTTCCTGGTAAGGCATAATGCCTTGTTTAATGTTAAGTATGCAATGTTTCTTTATGTCTTGAAATAGAGAATTTAAACATTTGCAGATGTATTTTTAAAAATAACGTGAAAAATAAAACTTTTTACAAAAATTTCTTGCTTAGGTTTGTGTTTTACTTCTTGACCTTTTGTTCCTCAATACTCAAGTGCTGTAAATTTATAATAGATTGTAGCTCACTTCCACTTAATGGCTGCCTCGAGCTGGCATTCTTAGTTTCATTCCTGTTCATGAAGGCACATTTGATGCTTTTTCAAGGTCCTGGCAGGCCCTCACCTTAAAAATCCCTGTTTTACATAAAATATTTATTTTATTTTAGTATAATCAATCTGTTACTCAATTCTAGCTTTTTAAAATTTTTCAAATGTTTATGCATATTTTAAAAAGCTCTCATTGAAATTATTTTGTTAAATGGTTTTGCAAACAATTATATATTCTTTTCCCTCTTAATGAAGCTGAAAGCTAAATTGTAGAGAATTGGATTCTTCCTCAAAACTCAAACAATTTGAGCAATGCAAAAAAAAATAAGATAAAAGCAAGTGGTGGAGTGCTATGCCTGTGTAAAGTCTATTCGAGAAGGGCTTTGTTTGCTAACTGTAATTCATGTAGAGATAACAATCACAAGTGTAATGCCGTTCCAATGCTTCACAGGTAGAGTGTTGATTTAAATGTTTCTAAACCTGTAAATTTGAATTTAAATTGCCCCAGAACGATGGCAACACAGACGCAAAGGCTGGCATGTCATGATAGGGAAAGCGGAAGGTCTGAGTCATCTGGAAAATAACATATTCTAAATCTAAAAAGGAGGACAGTTTGTACACAGTTTGTGCTAGGGTGTGTACTTGTCTCTGATTCAGGACCTTTACAGCCTTCGGCAGGAGGAAGACCGTGGGTGCATGCCCACCCAGGCTTGTCCTGAGCAGCTGGGTACAGCAACTCTGAGCCTCCATGACTTCCCTTGAAAACTAAGTATAATAGTGACCATACATAAAATTTTCTTTTTCAGGATTCCTTTTTCCACAAGCCTTCTATAACTTTCTAGCCCCTCTTAGTTTTTCTCTTCTTGCTTATTCAGAAATAACCAACCTTATTTTAGGATAAACTACATTTCTATACCTTGTACCTTCACTAAAAACACATATCATTTCCTTCCATATTAATTAGAATTCATAACGCTTAGAACCTTAATTCCTAGTGACAACTAAAATATGCAATTATTATTCTTCAGATTGACAAATTTAGAAATCTATTTCATAATCTTTAGAAACATACGTTCTTTTATTGGCAAAGCACAAAACATTTTCATTAGCAGATTTAAGTTTATCTTTTTGTTTCTCTAATAAGAGGTCAAAAGTAGGTAAACTTAGACTTATCTAGCAATTGGTGTTTCAGTATTTCATGTTATTTGGAAATATCTAGATAGTCAATAGTTTAATCCTTTAAGTTAGTAATATTCTAAAATTTCAAGCTATTGAAAGTTCAGAAAAACATTTAAGTACACATATAATTATTGCTAAAGCATTAATCTAAAAGAAACTTCTTATCGCATTTATATTTATTTAATTTATTTGTTCCTAACAATTAGGTTTAGATTACTTATGAAAATTTTACTATACCAAGTTATTTCTTGTTGACAAATTTTGCAACGGAGATAACATGAATTTATTTGACTAATAAACCCAGGTAGAATAAAAGTATTATTTAATGCTGATGTTTCTAAAGATATGCTTATTTAACCAAGCCAAATTCAGAACCAGCTTGAATATCAAACATTTTTCAGATCATGTGATTCTGAAAAGCATTTGGGTTAGTCTGTTATATTTTGAGAATTCTCATATAAGCACTTGTTTGTTTAAACCAACCTAATATTACTAACTAGCAATACCATTCAGCAGAAAGATGCTATATATAGAACATACTTATGTAGATATACATAAACATACCAACAGACAGAAGTCTCATAGCTTTCATTTGAAAACACTCGCTTTTATGTCCCAGGTATAATGCAAACTCAAAGGAAGAACTTGATCCAAATTATGTTTCTGGCAGATAGACTAATTCAGGGTTTTGCTCAGGTGACCAAAGCATTGCATGCTGTAAGAATTCCTTTAAAACCATTTTAAAGAGAGTGCCCCACTGAGGTCGCCCTGGTGCTCTGCCTCTACCACCCTGACCAGCTGGTCGTGGTAGATGTCCCTAGACAGACTGACCCATGTGCAATAACAACATAGATCCTAAAGGATCCCCTGAGAAGCTGTATTTCTTGAATTAGAATTCTGAAATTGTACATCTTATAAATATATGTTTATTATGTGAAAAAAAAATTAATTTATAATCAATCATAGAATGCATTCCATTGTCTCTGAGAAGCCTGAGATTCTCTCCTTCACAGCTTCCTTAGGGTGTACTTGTTGACAAATACACACACCAAAATGAAAAGTGAGTGTGTACAGTAAAGTTGGAAAGCTCAGAAGGTAAAAAGAGTGGCTTCAGAACACTTGAACTTAAAAGTGGCAGATTTTCCTGGAGGAAGATGGCACTGAGATGGAGCCTGAGCACAAGATGGCAACTGCCACATGTCTGAAGACAAAGAAGGTTGGGAAGGGGAAGGAGAAGCCTCTGATGCCATTTTACCCCTCATCGGTGGCAAACAGCAAAAAGGAGAAGGGTCTTTCCTTTTCATGGTGGCCATAGTGAACAAGACGTGGGATAAACCCTGACTGGGAATTGAACCAAGGCCACAATGGTAAGAGCAGCAAATTTTTATTAGACGGCCAAGGAAGAATGGATTAAACTCTGACCATGTGCTTATGGATTCCTCTCCGGCACCAATAAAGTTTAGGTGAGAGAGCCCTTGATGCAGTTGGCTGTGTGTGATTGTTACTGTTCGGCGATCTAAAATCCATCGCTGCCCCAGTGGCACTGTGAGGGCCTCGGTTCTTTCTGCTCATGCAACAACAAATTACAAATCAGCGAGATTTAAGAAAAGAAACCATATACACCAAAGAAAGCTGCAGCCTCATGGAACTCGGGATGTGAGTCTTCTATTGACTTCTAGATATGTGTTTACAGGGATGGTGCTAAATGATTGTCATGTGAGGTCATTATGATGGACATTTGGCTGTTATATAACCCTTTGACTACTGCATATGTGGTTACCCAGAATTCAGTCTGTTATAACTAAATTCATGATATGGGCATATGCATGATAATATAATGATAATATAATGAGACAAAGGTTACAGGACGGTTACAGTAGTACTAACTGCACAGGTGTTTGTGGCTAGAACAAACCAGCGACTATTTTATGGCTTTTTACTCCTTTGTGCCTCAGCATGTAGGGGTAATTTCTAATCGTAAAATGAGAGTTTCAGGAAGGTCCTAAGGGAGTTCTTTGGGTGGGGCTTTTATTCCTCAGTCACTCATGTCTGCATAACTACCTAACATTTCTCTGCTCAAGTATCAGGGACCCAAATCATTGAGGTTTTTGGGTGATGATCGCCCTAGATATTTCAGGTTGAGAAGGGGCAAAGGTGGAGGATTGGGTCCCTATACTTACTCTCTGTCAACTGGGGGTAAAGGTTGTCAATGTCCATCTAAGTGTCCACGGTGTGGTATAGGATCCATTGGCTGGACCAGGTAATATCTCCCTTGGAGGACCATCTGGAGATGAATTGCCTGAACTCTGGAAGAAACAAATTGAACAAGGTAATTAGGAAGGAGGAGGAGAATAAAAAGTAAGATTAAGAGAACAACAAGCAGTAGGAGAAGGGACTGGAACCACAATTGCCAATTTCTAGTAAGAGTGCCTATGTCAAGATGTTCTATTTTGTCTGCGGATTTCAAGATGTTTTAGATAGTTGTGGAAACCTGTCCTGATTGGTTGACATAGAAACAGCATTCTTCTTTGAGGTAGACGCATGTTCCCCCTCACCCTGCTGTCAGAGATCCAAGACTCTTCGATTTTGAAATACTATGCCAGCTAAGGCATAGTTGGCCTTTAGTTGTTCCTGGATTTGGATCAGGGTAAAGGCTGTCTCCTTGATGGCCTTGGCAGTCTCTGAATATAGCTTGATATAACACTTTCCTTCTCTTGCCTCCTCCCTACAAGATGAAAGCCCAGGAGGAGTATGTTAAGTCCCCAGTCCTCTGGGAATGGTTCAGTGGAGCCAGGGAGAGAGAGCAACGCCTCTCTCCTACAAGATCAGACAGAGGGCTCTCACAAAAAAGTTTGCTATGGTCACTGAGAAATTTAGTTCCTAAAAGTCAAATCATTTAAAACAAGTAACATTGACAAACAACATCTCACTCACTCACATTTGTGCATTTTCTCTGAAGAGGTCTATTCTGATATAGTAACATAAACACCTGGATGTAGGAGATCTCACCCTATTTTTCTTCTCTTTTACAAAGTAGTTCTAGCTGTA